TGACCAATTAATATATTACAGTTAATTAAGGTTTTTAGTTGAGATAAAAAAATCAATGGCACGAGCGGGATTCGAACCCACGATCTTCGGCTAGATACGCCGCTGCTCTACCATTTGAGGTATCGTGACAAGTGGTCGAGCAACGGCGTATTGAGGCAAAGGTCGTGGGTTCGAATCCCGCTCGTAACACTAAGTTTTTCAATTCAAACACAACCTTACATAAAAAGATTAATTATTTGAAAGAAGTAGTTTGGTCAATCAGACGACTAAATATAATGGATTTTTGTAATAAAGTTGTGAAATGTTGATATAACTTAAAAAGTATCTGGAATACAATTGAGAATCAGACATTGGACAGCTATTTTCCCGTCTAATTTGTAATTCAGAATGACCTCATAAAGTATTGACGTCTGCCCACGGGACACCCTGTATCCGTGGCCATTTCATTTGTCGCCGAGAATCCAATTCGATTACACGACATTTGACAATTGGCAAAAAGGAGGGAAAATTCAAAAAGGTAGGGTTGAGATGGGAAGTTAGTGTCCGATTGGATCGAGGTCACGATAGCTGAAGTGGTAGAGCAGCGGCGTATCTAGCCGAAGATCGTGGGTTCAAATCCCGCTCGTGCCATTGACTTTTTATCTCAACTAAAAACCTTAATTAATTGTAATATATTAATTGGACAAGCGGACCACGAAATTAGTGAATTTAGTCTTACGTATTGTGAAAATGTGACTTCGGTACAGCATAAAATCCTCCACTAAACAAGAAAAAACTGGCGTAACTCAAAATGTGCCACTTTTCCTGATAAATACTCATACCGATGCTTTAAAGCTCGACATAGAAAAAATATATGCCACTATTTGTACGTTCCCGCCAGTTCAAAAGCGACAGTAGCAGCTAAGTGTACACCTACAGTTGTATCATTTTTTCTGTAGCATCACACACCCGAATCCTTCATCAGAGGTCATTGGCAAACGGGCTGGACTTAAGAGAGTGGATAGAGGATTTGAACTAAAGTAAGTTGAAAATTTAGGGGGTGCCGAAAATAAATCAGAACAAAAGTTAATCAGTATTTTCAGTCGCTTTTCTTATTCCTCAGAAAGTTCACCATAAGCGACATAGCTCTAGTCAAAGAGAGGAAAGATGAGGGAGGAGACAAGGAGTCTACTATTAGTGAAAGGGAAAAGGAGCCAGGACTGTAATTTTTAGTTAAAAAGATTTATTTGATGGAAAAAAAGCTATTTTTAAATTTCATTTTAGCTATTTTATATTTCATTTCTCATATAAATCCGGTCTGCAATGCACAACAGCCTGAGAACAACATTTGAAAAAATTACTTGAAATAATTCACTAAATTTCGTGGACCGATTGACCACATAGCACCTTTCAATTAATTAATCTTTATGTAAGGTATTGGTTGAGGTAAAAAGTCAGCGTCAAGAGCGGGATTCGAACCCACGACCTTCGGCTAAATATGCCGCTCTACCACTTGAGCTATCGTGACTTCGATCCCTTCATACACTTACTTCCCATCTCAACCAAAACTTACGAATTGGAAAAATGACAAAAAGGAGGGGAAATTCGTAAGGTTGGGTTGATATGGGAAATAGTATTCGAGTGGATCGATGTCATGCTAGCTCAAGTGGTTAGAACAGGGGCGTATTGAGGTCGTGTGTTCGAATCCCGCTCGTGACGCTGACTTTTTTATCTCAACCAATACCTTACATAAAGGTTAATTAATTGAAATAATGTTTTCTCTCCTAATGCCCTTTGGCAAGAACACTCAGACACGTATTTTATGCCATAGTATCACAAAAGCAAGTCTCATCGGTACTCAAGTTCGCTGTAAAAATTGCTGCACAAATATTACAAAATCGTAAAATTACTAATGTAACACAGGAATAAAATCTGACAAGAATTAATGCTTTGTAAATTGCTGCTTTCGCCATCTATACAAGGATTGACGAATTACCAAACAACGGAAATTCAAGCACTGTTTATAACTATAATAACTGCAAGTAAATATATTATTTGCGCTATTTTAAACTTGATTTTTGCCAATATAGTTCCTGCTCACTTTTTATACTTCAAGAAAAGTCCACAGTCCAATTTTAAGTGTTTTAGTAGGATGCATATTGCGTTAAATGGGGGATGCCTACTGGCGGTAAGGGTGGAATTTTAGGTATTTGTTTCTTCCTAGGGAACATGTCCATGGACGAGTCTGTATTAAACGGATATTAGAACTTTTAGTTCAACCCTAAAGTTATGTATGTTCATATCGACTTCACTACTGTTTATGAATAGTTTGACAGTCAATCACAATTTAGGCCGCCAGTCAAAAAGTTTCTGTTCCTGTCTTTAGTCTTCCCATTCATGGAAGACCATGGACATAGTTCCATGCCAGTCGCTTGTAATTCGTTGATGTGTAAAAACAAAATTCTTTTAGTCTTGTTTATTTGTATCATTTACTCTTCCCGGTAGAAAAGATAGGTTTGAAGGTATGACGGGGGAAGGATTGCTATATCATCGGCAAATTTTGATATGACTGTCTTAAGAGATGTAAGTATATCATGAGTTTAAATTGATCTGATTGTACTGTTCATTTTAGTCCTTACGCGTCTTAACTCTCCTAGAATATATTCCCGAAGTAGTGCTTATTTTTAACTAATGGTTTGATGGATCTGTGGTTTTGGCATCGGTATGCCATAGATTAAGAGCGATACGTCCTGACTGAATTTGCCTGTTGATTGTATAACTTAAACATTATACATATTGCGTGAAATTTTGTACATATAAATTGAATTGTTTACTTTTCTTTTACAACATCAAAACATTGATATTGTCTTGCTTAGATTTCGATTATTAGAAGTTGGCTTCTTTACGAATCGATTTTGTCTATTGCCATCACCACCAATGTCTAAACTACTTTATTAAGCTTTAGGTTTTCGTCAGATCTCAAAGCTTCGTTAAGGGTAAATTTCAACCCTTGGTTTTCCTCTGCCAGGAGAAGGTAGCTCAGCCTGCAGAGATAACCCCACCTCAGCTTCTTCTTTCTGGCATCTGCACAAATTTGTTTCTAATATTTTACTGTTCATTCTAATGCAAATGTTGCGTGGAATACATTCCCAAAGAATGTACCACCAACCAAAGGTTTGACGAACCTGTATGCCGCAAATTCAGTGTTCTCGCCAAATTTGCCTGCTATATCAGCACAACTCCCTCAAGATTCTTAAGCCGTTTCAATATCGAATCTATTGTGCAATCACCACCATTGTCTAGACTACTTTATTAATCTTAACGTTTTCATCAGATCCTAAAGCTTCGTTAATGGTAATTTTCAAGCCTTGGTTTTCCTCTACCAGGAGAAAGAAGCTCAGCCTGCATAGACCACCCAACCACTGCTTCTTCTTCTTTCTGGCATCGGCACAGTTTGTTTCTTCTGTTCTATTGTTCTTTCTAATGCAAATATTTGAATACATTCCCAGCCTAGGCTATTTTTATTAGGCTTATTCTTAACCAATGGTTTGAGGAGCCTAGTATGCAGCAATTTCAGTGTCCTCGCTAAATTTGCCTGTTATATAAGCACAACTCCCTCAAGATTTTAAGCCGTTTCAATATCTAATGTCCATTGTGCAATCACCACCATTATCAGGACCACTTCATTAAGATTTAGGTTTCGAGTGTTGTGTTTGTGTTAATTTATTGTAATGAATGTAATTTATTAGCGTGAAAGAAAGGGTTTTGCTTATAATCCCGCCCCGAGGAATATCGAGTACTCTGGGGTGAGTGTATGATGTCCGGAGAGTAAATGTAATTTATTAGCGTGAAACGAAGAGATTGCTTATAACCCCGCCCCGAGGAATATCGAGTATTCTGGAGGAGTGAATGTGACCAGATCTACGTTTGCGGTGATGTGTATATAGGTATTGTATGTTTTGTTTATATTCTGTATTTGACAGCCTGAGGTTCAAACGAGAGACTAGCATTCTAGGATATCAACGATCGAGACGCTTAAAAGGGTGCAGTTCTAAACAAAATACTCGCGAAAGAAGAGAAAAAGAAGGAAAACACGCAGAGGGCCGGCGATGGCCTTAGCTGTTTGTCGGCCCATAAACTTCCTACTTTATTAATTGAAGCTTGGCTTTCCTCTGCCAAGAGAAGGAAGCTCAGCCTGCATAGCCCACCCAACCGGTGCTTCTTCTTCTTTCTGGCATCGGCACTGATTCGTTTCTTCCGTTTTACTGTTCATTCTAACGCAAATGTTGCCTGGACCTGGTCCCAACCTAGTCTACTTTTATTTTATTATGCTTATTTTATCAATTGTCCGATGGAGCCTGGTATGTCGCAAATTCAGTATCCTCACTAAATTTGTCTGTTATATCAGCACAACTCTCTAAAGATTTTCCAATTAATTAATATTATGAAAGGTATTGGTTGAGATAAAAAAGTCAGCGTCACGAGCGGGATTCGAACCCACGACCTTCGGCTAAATACGCCACTACTCTACCACTTGAGCTATCGTGATCGTGAGGTTAAGATGGGAAGTTAGTGTCCGAGCGGATCGAGATCAATCGATAGCTCAAGTGTTAGAGTAGCGGCGTATTTAGCCGAAGTATTGTAGGTTCGAATCTCGCTCGCGACGCTGACTTTTTTATATCAACCAATACCTTTCATAAATATTAATTCATTGAAAAATGTTAATAGGTCAATCGGACCACGAACTGTAATGGATCTCTTAAGATTCTTAAGCCGTTTCAATATCAGAGAAATTTATTCATTACGAATTTGCGTGGTGATGAATACGGTCGACTACCATCACTTTAGTCCACCTATCCTTATTTCTTTAGTCATATTTCCCTCTGTAACTGATGTGAACATAGACTGACCTGAGAGACGATCAAGCTTCACGTCCCAAGACAAATTTACAACAACGGCAATGGCACGACTCAATTTAAAAATAATACTGTTAGCTTCAATAGACAAAGTTGATCAAGTACCTGTAGAGCATGCAACATGCCATGTATTTGCCGTGTCTTGGATCGCATTTGACCATCTGGTTTGCCGGTTCGAAGCAGGCGTTCGTAATTTCGGCCACTGTCATCTGCTCGTGGTAAGCCTTCTCGGCCGAAATGACCGGAGCGTATGTCGCCAAGGGGAAATGGATCCTTGGATAAGGTACGAGATTCGTCTAAAACAGAATTTTGACTTAAAACAACAATCGAAAGAAATTTCTAACATTTACTGACCTGGAATTCCGTCAGGTCGACGTTCAAAGCCCCGTCGAACCGGAGGGACGCGGTGATGGACGATACGATCTGGCCAATAAGACGGTTTAAGTTGGTATAAGTCGGTCTTTCGATGTCCAAATTCCTTCTGCAGATGTCGTAAATAGCTTCGTTGTCGACCATAAAAGCACAATCTGAGTGCTCGAGGGTGGTGTGAGTAGTAAGAATGGAGTTATAAGGTTCAACTACAGCAGTAGATACCTAGAAAAAAGATGCTCAGTCTTTAAAAATTGTAAAATATTTTACTAAAACTATAATATAAACATATAAATCAATGATCTAGATCTACTAAAGTTGGTGGTGATAATGATGATTATTGGACAAATTTTGTACTCCTATTTTTATATTTGTACGAGAGATCCAATTTATTTTTAGATCAACATGGCATAATCTGCCAATTGAAGGTATGAAAAGTTTGAACTCAAATAGTATTTTTTATGCCACAACAGTGCCATTTTACCATGACATTCCTCATAAGTACCTCATTTATTATACAAATACGCCCTAATTTCAGAAGAACCAAAAACAGCTAAAGCCGTTATGTCAGGACTAATAATCTCTCTACAGATACCTTTTATGATGTGATGGTCGCCTACAATTTACTTATGTTTCAACTGCAGGCAGTCATCCCTACTATGTCAATCCTGACACGTTCTAAAGAACAGCCGGTGAACAATCAGTAACCTGATATTTAAGCAGAGGGTCAAATCTGATCAACGATTTGAGACTAACACAAATGGAGTAAACAGCCAACAGATGATCCTTCTTCATTGAGTACTAAAGCAAAACGGTTTTCAAGCAGCTAACAAGTCGGTAGATGCCCCTGATTGTACAATCCGTACCAGTACTTCTACAACCATCTGGCACAAGGACATCCACCACGGGCTCTCATCGCCTTCTCAGGTCTACCACAGGACCAGCCACTAAACTATCCTCTTTGATTTGGTGTTTTTGAGATGCGTTCTTTAGCTTAGGTGAATAGAACAATATCAGCATTTAAGACAGTGAAAAGCCGAAACACATCTGTAGACCAAAACAGGAAGGAAACCACTACTTTAAAGTATGGCTGTCTTTAAGTTCAAGTTATGAGTATTCAGCACCTTGGCTCAGCCTGTAGAAATGGTCAGAAAGGAAAAATTTTAGTGCTAGATTAAGCAGATTATAAGCTTGAGCTTACTCAACACGCCAGTATTCCATCCACGAAACCGCCAAACAGAATGAATAGAACTAAGCAAAAGTTTGAGCCGGAATATTTTTGAGCACCAACAGGCCAGTATGAGTACCTTGAGTACGTTTGAGGAAAATCAAGTAAAGAGTACTAAGTAAAGGGTTGAGAGAAGAATATGCTTGAGGACGTGCAACAGGTCAAGATGCTCCTACCTTGGAGTAGCCTTTACAGATTGAAGCTCAAAGTTTCAGAACATTCCCAAGCCACATCGACTAGAGGACGGGCGTGGAAGTCTTCAATGTTTATACGACGCCCTAGCAAGCGGTTATTCTTCCGGCCCGGCATATGAGGTAAAAGGCGGAAAAGAGGGTGTTGAATTTGTACAACGGCCAGGACAATAGGCCTATAGACCGTGCTCCCCCGGGTCCTCATCCCGCAGGCAGAAGAAATTCAACAATTTAACAAATAAAATATCTCTCCATGAAGTTTAAAAGAGTACTTCAGTATCCCATGTAAGCTAATCTTCTATTTGAATGATTAATAGTACATTTGATATGGCAGTCGCAGAGGAAACTTGATTTGTGACTGGAAACCATTGGCGTACCGTTTGGTTAAAGCACTAAACCCAACAAAAATTGGAAATAACAGTCAGTAATCTGAAAAATTGCCAGGGTTAGTTCTAGGTTAGGTGAATTTAAAGATCTTGATTCTTCGTACCTGTGGGGCAGGATAGATAGAGAATTCGAGTTTGCTCTTCTTTCCATAGTCGACGGAGAGCCGCTCCATGAGCAAGGACGTGAACCCAGAGCCGGTTCCACCTCCGAAGGAGTGGAAGACGAGGAAGCCCTGAAGTCCGGTGCACTGGTCGGCAAGCTTCCTGATCCGGTCCAGGACAATGTCGACGATTTCCTTTCCTGAAATGACAATTTATAGTTTATATCTGACCTAATTACATCAAACCACCTAAAAATCTCTCCACTAAGAGTACTGGACTGATGGACATGATCACCGTACTGTCTGTGTACCAGATTTACGTTTAGTTCATGCGTGTCAGGATTGACGCCATCTTCAACTAGTTCATTGTTAACCAGTTCAACATGTGTTCTTTGACTTTTACGCTAACAAACACTGTAATTTTTGGCTTTTAAAAGTACTAAACATACTAAATAAAATTGTTGTCTGTTAAAATCCCATGACGGTTTGAAATATAGACAGTCATCGTCCTGATGTAACCGAGTGTTCCGGATTTAATTAATTTTCCACTACTTTCACTACTGCAAAACTGTTTTTGTAGGAAACCGAGAAAAAACAATTATCAAGCCATTTTAAAATAATAAATTAGATTAAGTGCGTATTTTTACCAATGGTGTAGTGTCCTCTGGCGTAGTTGTTGGCAGCATCCTCTTTTCCGGTGATGAGCTGTTCAGGATGGAACAGCTGACGGTAAGTGCCAGTCCTCACCTCGTCTGCAATCATAAACAACGCCATTGTATACGTTGTTAGAAACTTATCCCATACATCATCAATAAACTTAAAGAACAAGCATTAACTTATGTGAACCTTTATAAATATATCGTTCCTCCTTACAGTTAGTTGTTTTCAACGATCCGAATTTCAAGCTTATAGGTTGATCCTCATCATCAGGTTGAAGGGAAGAAAAAATAAATGTTTGAATTATTCAACCTGATGATGAGCTATAAACTAAAGATTATTATCGTTGTAAAAAGATTGAACAACACACTCACCCCACCAGTTATTATTTCAATCAATTTAAATTATGTTCAAAAAGTGTTCTTTTTTACGGAGTAAAGGACTGTAAGTTTAAGAGTTTACCTAGTTAAAGTTTAACGTCCTGAAATCATTGAAAATAAGATTCATTTACTTTTCAACAATAAATATCCAGCACTGATAATCAACCTGCATTACTGTTATCACAATTTGTTAAAATAGAATCTTTTTCGTCTATAACGTACTTAGCTGCTTCGGGTGTGCATCAAGGCACAATTCTTGGACCGTTTTATTTTTTGTTCATAAGGAATATTTACTATCCCGTGAAGATTTTAGTATGCAATAGTGCTCAGCGGAGTATAAGTTTGTCCTTGTACAACAGACCAGGATGCCACTACCTTGGAGTTCACCTGCCTTTAAAGGTTGAAGCTCAGAATATGCAGCACTTTACCTCACCCAAAAAAACCGCTAGAGAGATTGGCTAGATCGAAGTAAAGGTTTGGGGTGTGCATAATGAATAAGTTCCTAGTTGTACAACAGACCAGGATGCCACTACCTTGGAATTCACCTGCCTTTACAGGTTGAATCTCTGAGAATTTAGCACTGTCTCACCTTGAATAAACAGCCAGATTTGTTGTACTTCCTAAAGTTTCGAAAGGATTATACGTTTGAGCATGTGCACCAGGCCGTGAAAACCATCACGTTGGAATTCACCCACCTTTACTGGTTGAATCTCATATTATTTCCCACCTTGCCTCACCTCTGAAGAAACGTTCAGAAAGATGGTACTAGTATTAAATAAAGGGTGAAGAAGTGGATAAGCTTCAGGTCGTACAGTAGGCTGGATTTCCACGTAGGCTTAGAATACATCTGCCATTATATGTTGAAGGTCTGATTTTCAACACTTTCAGTATTCAGCAGACTTGACTGTAAAATTTGTTTTTCCTTTTAAATAATAAATATTAGGTTAGATTCTCTCTGACAGAATGCCATAACCTGATAGCTTATCGACTCCTGTAAATGGTTTTTATCATCAATGACCGTTTGACTTAAGCCAAGAAAGGTAAAGAATATTAGGAACAGTTTATGTCATAAGTTAAAGTACTGCAAGTTTGCACTATCGTATAAAAATGGCTTGGTGCTTGTTTAAATAAATAAAAAGAGGACCTATTTCAACAGCATTTTGGTTAGCAATGTCACGCTTGTTATTTCATTTCAATTAATTAACCCAACGGTCTAAAAATCTCCTCATTGCTTTATTACACTGCATTAACAGTTAATGTAAAGGATTATCTATGAAATAGTTTTGTAGAAGGGTTTTCGTGTCCACATGAAGGGCTGAAACGCCATTGTATTCAAACTTCCTTCATGGCCTGATTTTTCTAATATAAAAATCAATAAAGTATTTTATTCCCTGGCGTTGTCATTATTCAATATGTCAATATTTGACGCCATTGCAATACTAAATTCAATTCTGGTTTTTTGGACGTCCAATCACTTTATATCGACGATTAGAGTAGGATGAAATCATCACCTGTAATACACTCCTCTTTTAAGATCTCCCATAAATAAACGAAATTACTTCTTTCAATTAATTAACATTTTTATGTAAGGTTTTGGTTGAAATGAAAAAGTTAGTCTCATGAGCGGGATTCGAACCCACGAACCCCACGCCCAGCCGACGCTCAATACGCCCCTACTCTAACCATTTGAGCTATTGTGACTGTGTGTAGTGTTTAGAGCAGGGACGTATTGAGCCGAAGGTCGTAGGTTCGAATCCCGCTCGTGACACTAACTTTTTCATTTCGACCAAAACCTTAGAGAAAAAGTCCTAATTAATTATTGTCGGAATCTCAGCAGTTTCGGAGTTACTCCCTTTTTCTGATTTTCATGAACTTGTTTAAAAAAAACAATAACTCCAAAACTAAACGGTTTTGAACAAATCCGTTGATAACATTGAAATTTTTTTTCAAGTTGAAAAACTTACTATGGTGGTTTTGAACTACTATTTCCAAACCTAGAGACCGGCAAATTTCAGAAAACGTACTCCATGTAATATCCTTTTTAGTGATGAAGAAACTGATGGAGGAATGGAAAAAATCGTGACTGACGGATTGATAAAGAGGAAAATTTAAAAAAAACTTACGGAAATTTTTTTTATTATTAATCTTTCCACCTTACCAATCTTTCAACCACGGTTTTTTTCCTTCATCAATTTCTTCATCTTTGAAAAAAGTAATTAAAAAAGCAATTGCACTACTGAAAAGGATATTAAATGGAGTAAGTTTCCTGAAATTTGCTGGTCTCTAGGTTCGGAAATAGTAGTTTTGAATCACCATAGTGAGTTTATCAACTTTAGAAAAAAAAAAATTTTTCGAAGTACTCGCTACTAAAACGCTTATTTCACCAACCTTTACAAGTTTAGTATTGATCACATCTTATTGAAAATTTAACGTAGCTTTCAATGATATCAACAGATTTGTCAAAAACCGTTTAACTTTGTAGTTATCATTGTTTATTTGAAGCAATGTCGTGAAATCTTAAAAAATCAGAAAAAGGGGAATAACTCCGAAACTGTTGAGATTCGAACCATAGTCAATTAGGACTTTTTGGTTCCATTTTGAATGTAGAATCTACTGGCAAAGTTTGTAACACGAGTAGCCGAATACCTTGTACATTCTTAAGCGTCTGGAATGACTTACCTACGACAGTTGGTTCCAGGTCGACGAAAACAGCCCTAGGAACGTGTTTTCCGGAGCCGGTCTCTGAGAAGAAAGTGTTGAAGGAGTCGTCGCCACCGCCGATCGTCTTGTCGGACGGCATCTGCCCATCGGGTTGGATCCCGTGCTCCAAGCAGTAAAGCTCCCAGCAGGCGTTGCCGATTTGGACGCCAGCTTGGCCGATGTGCACTGAGATACATTCACGCTGCGCAAAACAAATAAAAATACAATTAGGTACAATTAAAGGTCATTGGGTTAATTCAGAAGTATTTGTAGTGAAGGTATGAGATTTTCATAATTAAACATTGACAAAGGATAATTACATTTTCCATCGGCAAGAAAAAAGTGTTAATTCTTTTGTAACACAAACATTTTTTTACATTTTAATATGGAAGTAATAAAAACGCGTCGAACCATTGAAGAATCATCCCTTCGTCGGCCACGGTGTTGTCTCTTGACGTCTTTTCACTTAAACTGGGTGAAATCGGGTCTCTTTCTCATTTTACGACAATTTTCAAAACGCATGAATTCATGTGTTCAACTTCAAAATATATGAAAAAAACGAAACTTCAGAAGAAAAGAACTAATGCGGCCTAATTGTGATAAATTAAGCTATTAAGGTAAAAACAATTTTCTACTATAATAGGTCAATTTAAGCATTTGTCTGACAATTAAGAACAATTCTATGTCTCAAATAACAATCAATATTCAAACAATTTTTCCCATTTATACGTCCATTCCGTTATCATAACATTTCAACAAGTTTACATAAATATTTCTAAAAAGGCCTTTTTCCTTCACAGCTCACAATCTATGGTCATTTTAAATTAAAAATGACAGCTTTTTTATATAATACAATTATTCAATATTCTACAGTTCTGTATTCTTTAAGAGGCTCGAAGACGATTTGATGTCTTTAATATAGGTGATGAATATGTAAAATAGTGTAGGAACCAGCACGAAGCCCTGAGAAACGCTAGATCCAATGTTTCCTAACTGAAGTGCTTGAATTTCTAGTACCTAGACCTAAAATGGTCACACATATGTTAATAAAGAAATGCTTCAATCGGAAGATTTTTCCGGAAAATTGGTGGCGAAGTATCATCACAAGGGATTTCTTTTTAATTTAAACTTAGGGACGTCAGTGGCTGCAACGGTTTAGGCGTTGACTCGGCGGTCATTACTGTAAGATAAAGGTCCCGGATTCGAATCCGACATACTTAAATTTTTTTTTTCAAAAACACCTCGAGAATTGATATAACCTTATTGATTTTGAAGCTTATTGTTCTTGCAAAAAGTTTTAAATAAAAATTCAAATTTGACCCCCGTCCCTAAAAACGCTAAAAATGCAATAAAAAAAACATGATTCAAAGTAAGTAGTAGAGTTGGTGGACCAGAGGCTCCAGTCATGAGGAGGGATTCACGGATTATCCTCGCCCAAAAGGACATGCCAAGGAAGAACGACACACGTACACTTACTTTCGGGCCAAATGTCAAATGACAGCCAATTATGTGTCCATTATGTATAGAAAGGTTTCCCGATGTATTTCACGTAGTAGAAGAGTTCAATTCTTTGGCTCTTCAAAGAGATCGTGTAGGAATTCGATATGCCAATTTTTCTGGAGCTATGAGTTCCCTGTTCCGATTCTTGAAGGAAACAGGGTTGTTTTATTGTATATAATACTGATATTTTTGTGCTCCCTGGTGTATATCGAAAGTGAATGTATTTATTAGCGTGAATGTGTCGTTTGAATATTGAGTACTGCACCCCCTGAATGGGATGTAAATAAGAAAGATTGTATTTAAGAGTGCCTGAGTGTGTGAATGGGTTTCGATTTGGGAACTTGGATGCATTGGGCGCCGAATTGACCTAGCTGTTGACACCATCAGCACCTGGAGCACAACCTGGCTGGTCAGATAAGACCAAGGTCCGATCCCCGGATTGCCGGGGATGATTCTCGAGGCCTGCCGGTCATTTATTGTAAATTACAAAGGCCGGAATTTCCGGTGGTCTTTTTTTTTGTATCTTTTCACTATTCTTGCAATGAAGATTATTTTATTATTATTTTTAAAAAATATTAAGGATATTTAATTAAGAGTTTCACCTGATAGGTTAGGAAAATTATAATGCAATCCAAGTTGTAGGTTAATTAAAGTTTTCTCTTTTTTTATTATTATTTATGTGAATTCTACATACAAGATTATTAATAAGAAGGTGTAAAAAAATAAAAAAGAGCTGTATTGAGCTTCTGTTTTTTGATATAGGATATAATTAACACAAAACTTATATTATTAACTACGACTCATTTTCTACATTACATTTTCAGTTTGATCATGATCATCAAAATCATGGAGTTTAATATTTATTTTTCTCATCAACGAACATGGGCCATTTATGACAGGGCTGGCAGTAATCGCCGAGTTTTATTAATGATGTTGTTTATAATTGTTTAAATCATACTAAAAACAATTTGTTAAATAAGAAATCATAACAGTTGTAATTAACGGTGAAGTTGAAGTTGAAGTTGAAACTAAGATACCAATTCGACTCGGATTATTATTTCAGGCACGAGAAGCCCAGCAGACCATAGTCGTTTCCACGGTTTGCTTAAAACCACGGTTAACTGTCATGGGGTCACGGATTCCCATGGTGTATTTCTTTCTCTCCATTCAAAAAAAAATTATCTTATAAAAGATTTAAGACCTCGAAAGATTAGCGCTTTCAAATAAATACTAAATCACAGTTCTGGATTATTTTACGGACCGTACCCTCATTAGAAGAGGTTTTGACTTATCTACATTCCAGCGACTAGATCTTCAAGGCAAAATTGAGGGCGATAATTGTTCGTGAGCTCATCACTGCTAGGAAGGATGTGCAATTAGATTCTTCATGAACATTTTCTGCCACTGAAACAGTTTTGTACAACATGAAATTATTAGTTCTTTAACGAACTAGAAAAGAACACGAGTGAACATACGCAAATTTTTGGCCAGTTATCTTCAGAGACAGAATACTAACTAAATTTATTAGTAAATTCCATAATCACTCCCATACCTAAATTCCATAAACCTCCCCCAGACCAAAAATCTTCTTTCAGTAATGCTAAAAGCCCTTGAAAGACTTCTTTTAAAAAGCTTACGCAATTTAAAAATTTTTAGTCAATATATTTTAAATAAATATGTTCGTCCAGCAAATTGAAAACAATACCACAGTGAAAAGCCGCCCATTTCCTGAAAATCTTCCGACTGAAGCATTTCCTCATCTATCTGGTATAATCAACCGAATACATATATATATATNTATATATATATATGAACATTTTAGATTGATGTGTTAAGAGTTGAGTCGTACTTGAAGCGGGGGTTGCCCAGGGCTTCGCGCTGGGTACTACACTATTTAACATATTCATTACCAACATTAAAGACACACGCCGGTCTAGATTTATATAATGTCATTCCTTCAAATGAATCCGGTTTCCTTCATTCCAAAATTCAGCAATTTTTCTTGGTTTGTGACACTATTTTTTTCTGCTTTGGAGATCAGAGAATTACGCTGGGGTGCATCAAAAGTCACAAGATTTTGACATGATCTGGTGGGGAGTTCTCTTCAAACTAAGGGAATTCCCATCCATTCCTTATTTACAAATTCTACCTTCCTCCTTACCTGAGGAACTGAGCACCTTTTAAATTATTGGCCCAGTTAATTTAATTCCGAGAAGTCCACACCAAACGTTGATACTGTAAACCATCTGATGATGACAAGCGTACGAAATTCTCAGATTTTCTTCTGCCCACGTTCGAAAATTTCAAAATTAAGTCTGCAATTAGAGGCGAACTTGGATTCATCAGCACATAAAAAGGAACACCTCTCATAGGCAGAGTCCCGAATTCCCTGGACAAGATGAGAGCGATACGGCTTAAAATTGTAAGTCCGGAGCACATTTCTAATTTTACTTTTTGAAAAACGTAAAACCCTTACAACATTTTGGAGTAAGGAATTCGGATTTTCGCGAACATACAGAAAAACTAATTAACATTTTTATGTAAGGTTTTGGATGAAATGAAAAAGCTAGTGCCACGAGCGGGATTCGAACCCAAGACCTTCCGCTAAATACGCCGCTGCTCTACCACCGTCACGATAGCTCAAGCGGCGTATTTAGCCGAAGGTCGTGGGTTCGAATCCCGCTTGTGACACTAGCTTTTTCATTTCAACCAAAACCTTACATAAAAAGATTAATTAATTGAATGAAGTAATTTGATCAATAGACCACTAAATATTTAATACAGTAAAACGTGTAGAGATTAGTGACCGTTAATCGATAGTTATTCAGATATCGTGAGATGCGGTCGGGTGTGATGTAGGTTCAGAAAAACATTTCCAACGTTTCGATCATTTATTGAGATCATCTTCAGGGCCTGGAATTTATAAACAATGTTTACATTTAACAAATGCATTTAGGATGTGGAAAAGTGAATTTATACAATGCAAAATATATTTTATATTTAAACAAAGTATTTCTACTCACTCAAAGTGTTTGTCTTCTACATGTAATTGTGCCATCATCGCGTGTCGTGTTGAGAGTGCCAGTGAGATTTTGCTGTTTTATGTTTATATATGTTTGGTTTTGAAGGGGTGGGGAAGGAAGTCGGAATATAAAAGACAATTTTGTGTAAGGCGTCGGCTTCTTTGAAGTGAAAAAAGCCGACAAAGGGGAACAATGTGTTGGTAATTGTTCGGCCAGATCATCCTTTCAGGATTATATATAGAAAGGGGGTAAATAGGAAAAGGAAAGCTAAATTTTTGGAAAATTAGACTATGTGAAAAGTATTTGATGTGTGGAATGTAATGTAATGATGTATGTATGTTATTTATATTGTATTTGATTAATGATATTGTCGTAGCTGCGACACAATTACACAGATGACAAACACTTTGAGTGAGTAGAAATACTTTGATTGAATATATAAAAAATATATTTTGCATTGTATAAAATCACTTTTCCACATCCAAAATGTAATTGTTATATGTAAACAATGTTTGTAAATCCCAGGCCCTGAAGATGATCTCAATAAAGATCGAAACGTTGGCACGATAAAGAAAATGTTTTTCTGAAACCTACATCACACCTGACCGCATCTCACGATATCTGAATAAATACAGTAAAACATTCAGCTCCTCGTCGAAATTACGCTGCCGGTTTCTTT